TAGGGCAGTGAGTACTGAGGCTCAATTTGTAGAACTAGAGGAGTTGGAATGAATCTGGAATGAAATACAAGGATGGAGTTGTAAAGACCAGAAAACACTACTAAGATCAGCATTCTGAAATAAAGTTTGGGTCTGGGAGGCTGTTTTAAATCCTGTTCCCATGGCTGAGCAAAATTCCTGCAGCATGGGTGTCATGCTCTGGAGCTGGAGCATATTTGCTGGGACTGTGGACAGCCAGAAGCCTTGCTGTTCAGTGAGATGACTGTTTTATCTCAGCTTGACAAATGACATGCAGCTCTGACAGAGTACTTCTTCTTTGCTGGCCATCACCCCTACGGACACTGGCCAGAACAGCAGCAGCAGGAACATACCCTCCAACTCTGATTTAATCACACGGAGCCCAGGAGACTAGTGAATAGAGCCGTTAACTCTCTGTTTAGTTTGCTTTTCCCATCTGTGTTTTATTAAACTGAGAGCAAGATTTATTCATTTTTTTTTAACATCAGGATCTGTTGGTGTCCAAGATGATGGTTGATGTTAAGGTATACACACAAAGTTTAACCTGGCTGAGGGCCAAAGAGGCCTATGATTTCCAGCCTAGACAATTTATTTACAGAAGGACACTAAATCCCTCTACTTTAAAGTATTTTAGAAAGGATGAGCATGACTTCCCACTCTCCCAGGAACACAATACATGGAGAACACAGTGAAAGACCGGGCTCTCCAGGCATGAAGGCAAACACTTCAGTTTTACTGTAGTCCTGACAGGCCCTACATAGTCACAACTACCAATGATTTTCTGATTTCTACTCCAGGAATCTTAAATAGATTTGAGGTAACAGCTCTGTCTATAGATACTTATAAAAACCAAGAATCCTGAATGGCTCAGCTGGTGAACTGCACTTCATGGGAAATGATGTTATGTGCCAGGCTCTCCACTGTAAGGTGGGATAGCTGAAGCACAGACACTTGCATGTCTAATGAGCTACTGCAGGAATAACACTCGCTTCAAAAGGAGAAGAAAGGAACCAAAAGATGGGATTTTAAATTGCTTTGAAAAGATACACTTTTTGTCAAGTAATAGTGTTAACTCAAGACAGAAATATCAAGTGTGTGTTTGTCAGAACTGTAAAGGGGTTTTTAAAACATTGAAGCTTCAAGCAGTAACAGATAAAGCTCCAGAAATAGAACTTTAATACAAACAAGACTTGACAGTTTTCTAAAACATCTGGGTATTTTCTTCTTAACAGCAAGCTACTTTACGTAATATACCACTCTCTCTCTCTCATCTCTTACTCATCACCTTAGTCACCACATCTTAGTCATCCTCTCCTCAAAACGAACATGGTGACAATCCACTTACTCTAATGCCTTGCTCTCATCTCTGCAAGTACACTGTGGATTATTTGGGCTGCCAGAGGTGTCATTTCCAAAACCTCTGCATGCTCCTTAATCCAAACAAATGCCTTCATAACATCATATGAGTGTTATATTGTGGCACCTACACAGAACAGCATCCTCATATAAAAATGATTCTTGTAATACTAAGGCTCATGGTTTACCCTGTCACAATAAAAAGTATCCTAAAGACAAAATTGTTACTATAATAGATCATGCAAAATGAACTGTATTTCTCAAAGCTTGTTCATAGCCTTCCATTGGTTTGCTTACAACAGTGTTTTTATCCCTCAAATATCCATTTGCCCCAGAAAAGTTAACAGAGACTGCAGAATCTGGTTCCATGTGTGATAGCTGCTGTTCTGAATTGACTTTCAGTGTTAACAAAAGAGCAATGTCTTTTGTTAGCTTTATTCAAGAATGGTGTTTTTTCATGCTTTCACAATTTTGTCATCTGTGAGATGACAGTAAGAGCTTTGCATGAACCAGTACAAATTAAGCAGTATTCATCTGTTTTCTCTTTTTTATAGCTTTTAAGAATACTGGCAGAAAATGATGGAATCCCCAAGTTTTATTTTTCTTAGTTTCTAATGAAAGAATTCTAATTGTATGCAGTGTTAAACTGAAGTGAGAACTTGGCCACTATTCTGTATCCTTCAGATCCAATGCATTTTATGGATTTTATTCAATACATTAAAAGCAGACTGTATGAGAGTGATTCCTAGAGGAGGTAGCAGATACAAGAAGAAAAACCTAATCCCTAAACTGTGTTAAAAGCTGCATGACTTATGTTTTTGAATGAAAACCTGCATCTGGAGTGTTCTGCAGTGAACCAAATTCTCCACTGTGGTAGTGATACCTAGAAATGACAGGTCCCTCAGATCCCCATTTCCTTTTCGTGGAATACAGGTATAAGGCATTCTATTATTCCAGTATTACAAAAAAACTTGATTTAGGTATTAGAAAGGTATTAGGGTGACCCATCCCATTGAGGAAATTATCTCTTGTCCTGCATCGTTGCAATTTGTGATTGAGGAGGTCAGAAAGGGGGGTAAGGAGACCTGAATCACCACTTGATGTAGGTGCCTTGTCTATCTTCAGAGGAGCAAAGCTGGGTTTGGTTTCTGGCATTGCCTGGTTATTTCCTTCCTTATTTCCTTCCTTATTTCCTTCCTTCCTTCCTTCCTTCCTTCCTTCCTTCCTTCCTTCCTTCCTTCCTTCCTTCCTTCCTTCCTTCCTCCCTTCCTCCCTTCCTCCCTTCCTCCCTTCCTCCCTTCCTCCCTTCCTCCCTTCCTCCCTTCCTTCCTCCCTCTCTTTGTCTTCCTTTCTTTCTTTCTCTCTCTCTCACTCTTTCTCTCTCTCTTTCTTTCTCACTTTCTCTCTTTCTCTCTCTCTCTCTCTCTCTCTCTCTCTTTCTTTCTTTGCTTGGAGACCACAAAAGGTCCCTCTTTTGATGACCTCAAGATCAGTAGTAGCTGCCAGTATTGCTTGAATACCATTGTAAAGTTCATCTTTCTCTCTCAGTATGAGGCCAGAAAGCAATTCAGACCCAGATACAGGGACTTTGAGCTCCAGAAGATCTTTCCATATCCAAGAATATGCTTAAGGACTGTTAGGCAAAATTTTCTCCTCAAAGCTATGCCTATTTACAGCAGATGTTTTAGCACTCACAGAAACTGCAAAGAAGTCCTCATATCAAAGGCTGTTTCATTGGATATTTAGACAAATTCTAAAGTAGACTAAGTAAAATAAACACAAAATTATTTGTAAAAAATATATTAGAGAAGAAAAACCTGGCTAAGTATCATTCCATCCAATTGCTTAAATTTAAAATACTTAGTCAAATATTACTGAAAATGAATCCCTCTAAATAATCAAATTACTTTCTAGAACAGCTGTCAAATTGCCATTTTTATAACCACTAAAGTACTAGGATTGACTCCATTTGCCTTTTCCTGCAGTGTACTTAATTTTTAAGTATTTCTCTTCATTTTGGTATAAGTTCATTGGAGTTAATCATGCACAGACATTTTCAGATGTCACTGCCTCTAAGTGTAATAATCCCAAGTCAATTCCTTCTTCAGATTTTCAGCAAGGAATACACTAGATTTAGGTTTGGGTTTTATTCTGTTTTTTACCAAATATTCTTTGCAACAGATGTTTAATTAAAGGCTGCTAGACAATTTAAACTTCTCAGAAGAATACAAATAAAAGCTGTTAATGAAGTAAATATCTGTTTAATTTACAAACATCAGTAGCATTACTGATATCAGTCCAAATATGACAAAGCACACTGCATTACACATGTACATCTAATTTTTTTGTAAAAAAAATAATAAAATAAAATTGAAAAAACATCTGCATTTTTACAGGGTACCCTGGGTTTTACTGAAAGAAGAACACAACCCACTATTGATTACCAGTTCTACATTATAATTTAGCAGCAACATGTTAACATGGGGAACATTAGGGCAGTAAAGTAGTTTTATTATTTGGGGAAAATCACAGTTTTTTGATAGCACAGCCTTTTTTTCTTTTTTATAAAAAAGGTAAAGAGCTCCATGGGAATATTAATTTATAAAGATCTATCTTCTAATGTAATTTTCTACACGCCATCTTATTTTCTGTAAGTACTGTATATAGGGAAAATTATCTTCTCTACAATTGCCATCTAGTGTAAAGACATTTTCTGTAACATATTACAGGTTCTTGGAAGGTGCCCTGAATATCTGCTATATGTGAAACAGCAAATTGTCACCACTTTCTATTCAGTGACACCAAGTGGTCAGATTCTAAGGAAAAGTAAAAGGCAATGGAAAGGAAAAAACAGATTGAAAACATTTACCCCAAGACGACATGCTACGTTAGTTCTATTGCAAAAAAAATCCTGATTTTTTTAAGTCCTTTAAAAAAAATTACAAAAATACTGGAACAAATATAAATTAATATATATTAAAGCATTGAAAAACAGTAAAAGGGATGGCCTAAAAGGGTTAAGTACAATGTATTTTGATACAATAAATATTTCTCAATGAAACCCAATACTGTATAGAGTTGTTTAGAACTCATAGAAACAGAAATCCATATTATTACTAATTTATCCATCAATAATCTATTTTATCATCCCCGGAACATTTATATTACAAAAAAATTAATACTGTAAAAGGGAAGATAAACACTTTTTTATGCTTCTTTTGCTAACACGCTGACATAAAAGTACACATCATCAGGAGATTTCAGGCTTATAGTATATTCTTGTATCTCCTATTTCCCATTCATTAAATGGGACCCCATCTTCTCAGGATGCTTAGTAATTCCAAAAGACAAAATGTGTTTCGAACAATTGATTTTTCTGTATAATCTGATTCTTTTTGCTCATAAAGCTTCCTCATCCATAGGTAAGTGATTGGTATGGTCTGTCAAGACAATAAAATAGACTGATACGAAAGTGAAAAAACAAGCCTCATGTTCTGGTCAGTATTTCATCTCTGAGCTGTTAAGTTGAAAGTCACATGTGTATAGTGTCAGTGTATCTTCAGCATGTTATAAAGAAGAATCCGTGTTAAAAGCAGTTAAAGTTTCCCATCTCTGATGCAATGTTACCAGGTCTTTTTTTTTTTTTTTTTTTTTTTTCTTCAAAGCTCCTCTTGGGTATGAGAAGTCTCAGTTCAAGCACTTGAATCTTTTTTTCAATGAAGAAAAAGTCTTTATTCTCATAATAAAAATAAGTCTGTTCTGTATTTTACAATATATTTCAAATATTTCCACTATGAAGCATTAATTAGTCCGACACGGTCAATAAGTATACAACATTTTCAAAAGACAAGTGTGACAGGGACACTTAGGAGGGACAATTTGTACAGCCACACTTCACCACTTTCTCAACCTCGTCCACAAATGAGGACCCGTCAGTGCATTCGAAGGAGTATTTCCGCCTCTTGCTCCGTAGTGGCCCACAGCACTGCCCGGCTGAGCACACGCCTTTACATTCTAGTCTCGATACCTTCTTGGTCGTCTGGCACGCAGCATACCCTTGCTGCTTTTGGTAGTAATCTCGGACTCGTTCCCCTCGACAAGAGATTTCTGTAGGAAACAAGGTTTAAAATAAGAGATACGCTTTCGAGACACAGGTCAAAGGCTGTGTAACACAGGAAGATGCTGTGTTACTAGTCGCAGTTGGGATTGATATTTTAAAGTTTGACTGAGACTGTATATTGGAAACCAGCGGTTCTACCAAACGTAATTAGATTAATGCTGGGTTTCATTCCCTATACCTCCTATTTTCGGTAAAGCTTATGTTATGTATATGTAAACCATAAATACGTAGCTATTACAATGACAAGAAAATTGGAAGCTTAAATCTTTTCCTCTTTTATAAAAATACACATCTTCTGTTGCTACATTGCTTGCAGCTGGTTCTGTTTACCATAGGGAAATGTTTCAGAGAGCATGCAATTTAATTTATTAGACCTGGAGTTTAATATTATTTAAACTCTTATTTAATATAAGTTACATTCCGCTAACTTCATAAATTACTGAGGTATAAAGGCAGCTAAAAATGAGACATCTGTTAAAAGTTCTACAACCATATTCTTCTATTCACATCTATGTACAATATAAAATAAATGCCAGCTGGGGTAAGGGAAAAAGAGGGAGAGGGAAAGCTTTGATAGACAAAGGAAAAAGAAAAAGGTAGGGGGAAAAGTCATCCTGTTTTCATCCATCTCACCTGCATAATTCGCTGTGATAAATCAGTTGAAGCTGAGAGGTCAAAAGTAGAGTTTGTGATAAAACTAGGAGCAGAATCATTGGATTTGGCTTCTCAGTTGCAGAAGGTAGAGAAACAATAAATACAGAAAGATACAGCAGGTAAAAGGTAATAGTTAAATATAGTAAAAATGTGTTTCTGAATAAAGGCAAAAAAAAAAAAAAGAAATGTTTTCACAGAAAAACATTTGATGAAAAAATCCTCAAAATGTAAATAAATTCATGGGAAAGGCTTGACTTTTCTCTCATCAAGATAAATTCTTATGGTAGAAAAAAAAAGCAACAAATGTTTGTGTTGTGGGAAAAAAAAAGACTGGTCATGTTTTTGGCTGTTCATGTGCTTGGCTGTTCATGTATTACTAAAAAAGCCTATTTTCTAAGACCACAACAACATTAATGAATTTTTTTTACCTTTTTCACAACTGTCCCCCGTGTATCCGCTGCCGCATTCGCAATATGGTTTCCCAAGTCCTGAAAGCCTACATTTGCCATGTTTACACCTGATGGATTGGCAGGGGTTAAACAGCATTTCCTCTTCATCACAGAGGACTCCCCCATGTCCCTGCAGGCATTTACAACTGTATGAAAATGCATTGATGGGCAAGCAGGTACCATGCACACATCTACAGGGGAAACAAGCCCAAGAGAATAAAAATAAATTATTCATCAAAGTTCAGGCTAAGCAACATTAACTACAAATACTTTGGACTGTACTCAGAAGTAATTGCTTTTGTTTCTAATGGACTTTCTCAGTGAGATGCAGTGAAGTGGTTTATAATTGGTATGCAGGTTTACACAAAACAAGCTGCAGTACAGAACTCCCTCTCACCAGAAAATAGCCACTGTAGATGTGTTATGGAAAAATTTCACAGGCCACAACCACTAAAAACAACATTTCCTGTCTACCTAAATTTTCAGCATGCTTTTGAGAAGAACACAGCAAAATCAAGCCAAAATAAAAAGAAACTCACCTGAAATTCTGGTTCGTGTATCATTTAAAAGGAACTCCATATTGTCACTCATGAAATATGGGGCTCCCAGCATAAAGACAGGTCAGGCACTTCCTAAGAGAAACTATTCTGACTCAAGCAATGGTAGTTTCAAGCTGAACATTTTCCTCCAAATACATCAGTCTGTCTTACCAACTGCAAGTAGCAGGGTCCTCTAATGTCTGAGGCAGGTCTGTGCTTCACTGCAGGGCAACAGCAGTCACCCAGAATTCATACCAAACCTCACACTAGATGAGGCTGTGCATTATCAAGTCTCACCCAAAGTGATCAAAGCAGCTAAATTTCCCAGTTGAGCTTCAAGAAACATTTGTGGCAGGCTCAAATCTTGTTGTTAGGACAAAAAAGATTGTGAGTTAATCTGTATCTGGTAAGTATTGATGTACAGTGGTATGGGAACACACAACTGGTCTTTCTTCTCTTTGAGAGAGAGGTGGTGTTTTCCAAAAGGAGGATGCTTAATTACCCATTCCTAGCTATAAGCTGAACATTAAGGGATTTCATCTTCTGAAACTATCACCAATGACTTGGAATGAAAATACTTCCCTTTCCTCATTTGCCAGCACAGGATCAATAACCCCCTTCCAAAAATAATGTTATCCTCTTTAACTCTTGTTTTTGTAGAAAAATTCTCTGTCTACATACACTGTTTCCAAGGGGGATCACAGTGAAAATTACTTTGTGGGGAGGAATGCAATCGTGACATACAAGGCGCCCTTCCTGATGCTTCTGCTCTCTAATGTTTTTCCTCTCTATAGTGTATGACTCTTGACTTACAACCTCCTTAGTGTGTTATGACCTAAATAAATGAAAGCCACCTAAATAAATGAAAAAATAGAGATAAAAAAATATAAAAGTCACACTTGATCTAAAATAAAAGAATTTGTTTCAATTTGAAGATAGCAAAAATTCATCTAAAATTGCATGTCATCTTAAAAGGAGTATTCTATTAAGAGCAACATTTAATTATTAATTTTTTAAGACAACATAACCACTTTGGGATTAAAACCTGCAAATATAAAACTAATAGGTTAAGCACTTCCAACCTCTCTATTAGTCTGTATTTTGAAGCAAGCATGTTCTCTATAAAAATGAAAATTTTTTCCTGTGGTTGAAGTCTGATATTCCAAGACTGTTATTAAGCAACTCAAAATGGAAAGCTTAGACAGTATCACAGGGTAGATAGCTTTTGTTTAGTTTTCATTATGTTCAGCATTTGATCTTTTCACCATTTATAAAACATCCACTTTTAGGACATCTGATCTACAAAGTTACTCAGGTGGCACTGACACATCCTGTCATACTCTATACAGGCTTTAGATATCAAAGCAATCTGTATCAAGATCTTTGGTAAAGTTTTGCTTTGACTTAGAAGATGATTAAATTTTAGCTAATGCCAACTCTCATACTTTTGTTTCCACCTGCTCTTTGAAGCTCTAAATTTCATCTTCAGACTGTACTGAAAGGAACATCAAGCTAAGTGCAAATTCTCGGGCACAGTTTCATCTCATCTAATTTTAGGTACCTGTGTCAGGCACTCAAGTTGGATGTATAACTGCCATAAGCTCCAGACACAGTCAGTCATGGGGAGAAATGAGCTTATCTAGAGGATGGTTAGACAACTTGAGGTCTTATTTATTCTTTTGAAATGTGCTTATTCCTTTACTGAGTAGAGAACAAACTTTGGTCACTGGATTTTGAATTCAAACACCTAGATGTAGGTAAATGTGTTGTGAATCTTTCCATGATGAGCAGGGATCTCTAACAGATCACCTACATTTTTGAAACAGAGATCACAGTGACAATTTTGTTGCTCAGATAATGCAGAATGTCGAACTGTATTAGATGGATAAAATGCATCTACTCAATAGAAAATTTAGAGATGAATCAAGAAACACAGAAGTAAAATCCCCAGGAAGTAAAGAATAACGAAACCCCCCTCCACTCCAAATAAAAAATTTTGGTTTGGCTTTCTCTCTTAAAAACTCACAGCTGAATACAGCTGTATACAGCTGAAACAAGTGCAAAACTTTAAAGGGCAAACAAAATATTAAGGCTGTGCTCACTTCTGTCTTTGATACCACCTGCATCTGATACTGATAACTTGGCTATTTGCTGCAAAAAAGCACTCAGTTTGGGTGTGACTGTTATAAGAACCAATGAAGAACCTAATATTTCAAGGACAGTTTAAAGAAATTCTCTGGCTTTTCTGATAGTAGAACTTGTGAGTACAGTTTGATGTTATTTTTTAATCCTGAAGTATTGAAATATAAAGTCACATTTGCATTTTTTAACCTGCTGTGACTACCTTTCGTTAATGTTAAAGAGGACAGCCTAAGAAAAAGACCAATAAAAAATAAAAAGCTATAATGATATCCTTCAAAACTTGACTACTCTTAGTTGTACCAAGATATCAAAACTTAAAGGTACTGAAAGAGTCTATAACCAATATAAAGAAAACTGTGTTGCAAAGCATTCTAACTGCTGTATAAAACTTTAAAGGGCCAGACTCTGCACACACTATGTAAAAAGTTGATTTAAGCGTCATTTTACATGGGAGTTGAAAATTATCTTATTAGAATCTCTTAGCAAACTTAGGCCACTGGTCATTAAAAGTCAAAAATTACATTGGCAAATGCTGCACTGAAAAAGCTGCAGGCTTGCTTTATTAAAAAAAAAAAAAAAAAGTTTGTCAAACTGTAATCAGGACAGTGGTAAGGAGAAACAGAATGACATCTTGTTGCCCAAGATCAGTAAATACAGTATAACTTTGAACTTCTGAAGTTTCTGATCTTCTTGTGCTGGGAGTCCATGAACCCAATCTAAATGTCTCTACAGTAAATATGAAAGATGAATATGCATAGATATCAATACTATAATATAAACAATTATACCTATCTTTTTCTAGCTCCACACATTTATATACAAGAACCTCTCTATAGATATATATATAAATATCTAAACAAAAATTTTTTGCTCAAATCAGTAAATAGAATTAAGACAGACTGAAACAGAAGTTCATAAAGACTGAAATCTATTTTCCTTCTAAAACCTGAAGGTGTACTCTGAAAATATAATATATTAGATATGTCCATTGTATAATTTTTCAAAATCATAGTAGAAATTATTATTATTACTATTACTACTACTATTTTTATTACCTCATTCTGTACAACTGAAAACAAGCAAATAGAGGTTTTTTTCCATTTGCAGCTTCTTCAAAATTATTTTTGTGCCAAGGGTCATACCCAGAGTTGCATGAATGCATCTCATTACAAAAGAAGCCCATACAGAAGTATGTAAGAGCACCTCCCAGGCTTTAGGCAGAACTTCAGGGACAATTGTGAATCTGCTCCTCTAAATTTGGGAGTTTCCCTCATTAGGATTATGGAAAGAATATATACTATAACCTGGATGCTGTTTTCGCTTTTACATGCCCAGGTTATGTTGCTTCTTGCAAGTGTGAATTTTATGACAAAAAATACACATAACAGGAGACTTATATGCACATTATTATTATTATACTGCTTTTTCTTGAGGAAGGACATACTTATTTCCAAGACATGGGTCGTTAGTTTGTTGATCACAGAGTGGTCCGGTCCATCCTCCTTCGCACTCACAGGAGAAGCCTGACTGGCTGGTGGCGTGGCATGTGCCATGCACACAAACTTTCTTATGACAAGGCTCACAACCTGGCAGAATTCCCACTTGCAGTGGCACATTTCTGAAGTCCTGGAGTTCACTGTTGATATACAGATTACGGATGCAACCATGGAAGCTAGTGCCGTTCTGCCCTGGTGACTGGCGTAAAGCTGCTACATTATTTTTCACGGGCATGCCTAGGAAATTAATAATAGAAAATGATCAGTGCAATAATCTCACAATTTTCTATACCATTTTCTCTATTTTTAAAACACTTTAAAAGCAATGCTTATTCTTAATTAGTTATTCTCAGCTATTCAGACTAGAACCATGAAGAATAATTTAGTTTTTTGGAAAGCGTCCTGGTTTTCAAGCATGCATGTAAACCAGCTCCAAACCTGTAAGTCTTTAAGTCACACTTAAGAGATGAATATAAGACTTCATCAGAAAGGAAGCTCAGAGCTGTGAAAAGGTCAGTTTTGGAATTTAGTAGGACCAGCTCATTAAAATGGAGCTAACACACACATTTCAAATGTGAAATATTGCTATGGAAAATTTATTGGAAAGGACAGTTTAACAGGTTGAGGTTAGAAAACCAAAATACTTTTGTTTAGCACGTCTCAAACACATATCAATAAAATAAAACTATAAGCCATTCACAGTTTGCCATTACAGTCTAAAACAGTCAGTAATAACAATAATTCAACATGAAACTACTTGTGTGTATACATTTAGATAATTAGATAATTTAGATAATGCAGATGTCCCCAGGGTTGACCATTTTCAAAGTAATTCCTGTTACAGTCTATAGTTACATATGTAATTAGAGCAGTAGGTGTATGTGATGCACTTATACTAATAATTCGAGAATAACTCAGAAGGAGTATTACTATCAAACTTTTTCTTGTAAACATGAAGTTTCTTCTACTCCTACCCCTTGCTTTTTGTTTTCTTTTAACTGATTGCCAACACATTAGTCTATAGTAGATAGTCCTTAAGATACTGCTTTCTAATAATTAATACACAAATGCCAGAATAAGTCCTGAGACTCACAAATAAAGGAAATCAAACTGCACCGATTATTAAAAAGGATCTGTTTACCTGAAAGTAAATATTATTAGCTGCATAGGTTTATTCCTAGACAAAATCAACAATTTTCATTCTGGTACTTAGATAATGACAAGAAAGCAGGAATGTTATGCATAGTTGCTCCTTAACCATGTAAACTGATACTTCTAATAATTTTCTATATTACTCTGAACAGTTAAGAGTGATGTGGAAATACTGTGCAAATATAAGCAGACCTGCATTTCATTTAGAGGTGATTTCATTCGTGCTAGGCTTCGGTGATTACAGAAATGAACAATATTGTATCCATACTGTTCAAGAGCCTAACCTTTGATCTAATCAGTTAAATAAATGTATTGGGTTTGTGTGGCCAGGTTTTGGGTAGTGAGGGGGGCTACAGAGGGGGCTTCTCCGAGAAGCTGCGAGAAGTGTCCAAGAGAGCCAATGCCAGCTGGCTCCAGGACGGACCTGCCAAGTCTGCCTAGGCTGAGCCAGTCAGTGATGGTAGCAAGAGCTATGTGATAACAGATCTATAAAGGGAAAAAAACAACAAAAGAGGAATTGTGCAGATGTGACCAGAGAGGAATGAGAATGTATAAGGAATGGCTTTGTAGACAATGAGGTCAGGGAAGCAGGAGGGGAAGGAGTTGCTCCAGGCACTGGAGCTGAGATTCCCGTGCAGCCATGGTGAGGCAGCTATGCCCCTGCAGCCCATGGATGTTCACAGGGGAGCAGAGATCCACCTGCACCCATGGAGGGCCCATGCAGGAGCAGGAGCAGGTGGATGCTTGAGAACACTGTGACCCCATGGGAAATCTGTGCTGGAGCAGGCTCCTGGCAGGACCTGTGGAGAGAGAAAGGTGAAACCTGTGGAGAGAGGAGCCCCCACTGGAGCAGGTTTTCCTTGGACTTGTGACCCTGTGGGGGACCCGTGCTGGAGCAGCCTGTTCCTGAAGAACTGCATCCCATGGGAAAAAAGGGACCCATGCAGGAGCAGTTTGTGGAGAACAGTCTCCCATGGGAGGAACTCCACACTGGAAGAGGGGATGGACTCCTTTCTCTAAGGAGGCAGCAGTGACAGAAACAACGTGATGAACTGATCATAACCCATATTCCTCATCTACCTGCATTGCTTGCAGGAAGGAGAGAGAGAATCAGGGGAAAAGAAGTTAAGCCTGAGGAGGAGGGAAGGTGTCTTTAAGAAATGTTTTACCTCTCCTTATCTACCGTGACTTGGACTGGTAATATATTAAATTAATTTCTTGAAGTTGAGTCAGTTTTGCCACATCAGTAATCAGTGAGGGATCTTTCCCTGTCTGCATTTCAACTTATGAGCATTCATTGTATTTTCTCTCCCCTGCCCAGCTGAGGATGGGGGTGATAGAGTGTTAGAGTGGCTCTGGTAGGCTCCTGGCACCCAGTCAGAGTCAAACTGTATAATAGGCTTTGAACTATTATATTAAAGGACTCAGACTGCAAACAACCATGAATTTCCATTTCCTCACATCTACTTGCCATATTCTCAAACCAGGGACAGGGCAGAGTCATCAAGGTCCCTTCATCTTGTTGTCTCCCTTGAAAGCCACACTCAGCTGATGTCATAGAAAATGCTTGAAGTACCTCAGCAGAACAGATGTACTGAACTTGCTCTTTGTAAAAATAAAAGGTGTATAAAACTAAGCACACCAATGCAATGCTAAACTCGATGTTATACTTGAAAGTGTCAGGAAACTTAGATGTGATTTCTGGGAACCATATTAGCATGTATGTATGATACATACATAGGTATTATATCACACATGATTCAGATTTTTTTTGTCTGTATTCTCTAATAAGGGAGACATTTGGAAACACAATGCAAACATATGCACAAGCTTTCAGCCTATAAACTTTTGTTCTAGCAAGATACCAAATATCAGAAGGCCAAGGTGTGTGTGTGTGTAAAACCTGCTTCTATTCTTTAGCAATAATTCTTAAATAATTTTTATATAAAGATTCTTTACAGTAGGAAAAGAACTGACATACAAACAATACAGACAAATATTTCAAATCTATTTTTGGCAAGGTGAGAGAGTAGTTTCCACCCCCTTTTAAGTTTTGGACACTGAACCTGACTACAGCTAAATTACTGTTCAAGGAGGCTCTCTTAAATAACAATCACACAGTAAAACTGTCAAAACAAGTATCTAATTCTAGAAGCTGCCACAATAGAGCAGGCACAAATGAGAAGCAGCTGAAACTCTACCTGTCTCAGAAATAGGGACATCCATGAAAAAAAGTGCCACTCTCAACTAGTAAAATATGCTCTAATTTCTGAGAGAAGATGTGAAGTATCATTGATGTCTGTGACTCCTTTGAAGAATTTTTGAGAAGAAACAGATTGTCCCTTAAGAATTCTTACAAAAGCCATGCACTTTCAGTATGATTTACTGAAATTTGTTACAGAAAGACTGAAAAATAACAAGCACGTGTATTCTGACCACACAAAAAAAACTTGGAAAAGGCAAAAAAACTCCAAAAGGTATAAATCTATTAGCTCACTTTTGGTAAAAATAATGTTAAATTACTCCTTTCAAATCAAGCTAAATATTGTGACCCAAGAGTAACAATAAAAAAAAAATAAAAAAGAAGAAGGGGGAAGGCAGGGAGAGAGGGCATGAGAGAGAATAAGAGCACACACTGTACAAGTGCTTGCTGTCAAGTCTGAATTTCAGCCTGCCAACTGAGGTGATGCTTATCAGAAATGCCATTTTAGCAGGAAAGTGGTAAGAGTAAGTGTAAGATACATGATGATTTAGGTGTCAAACTAAGACTTTGGCAAAGATAAAAATACTGCATAAAAACCTGGTGAGAATTTAAGTTCTTAACTGATGAAAATGTTTAATCAAATTCTCTAAAAAATCTAGATCTAGTTGGATAAGAAAAAAATTATTTAATCTCAAAAAGATGGGTAATAGACAGATAAAAGTGTGAAAATTACCCATCTTGAGAATTAAAAAAATCATAAACAGATAAATTTTATAAAGAAGAGGAAAGATTAAGAGCTGAACATTAACCCACTGGGGTTTTTTCCTTTTTGTTACAATGTGCTTCTATGATTGGTTTTCATTATTTTTTGGATCAACATTTTCTGTGACAGCAGAAATAATTGTCTGTTTAGAGCCTGAATGCGAAGAATTGTAATAGAATAAACATGAGACCTGTCCAAGGAACATGCACTAGAATGCAAAAGGCTGCTGCTCCTAGATATCAGACCACTAAGAGAAAAGATTCTTTCAAAAAGTTGTTCTTGTGATACTTGAAGCTGACGATGCAGGTTAGTATGATTCTCCTAATGGAGGTACAGATCTGCAGAGTGAAGAAGCAAGGAACAGAACCATATGTCACAAATCAACATGGCAGTGGTAAGAATGTGCCCAGAAGAAATGTTTACAGTTGGCAGTCTGGCCTCATTTCATCAAAAGGTGCTTATAACAGACAGAAGGATTATTCTGCACTGTTCAGCTTTCAAGTAGCACAATTGGCCTCAGCAATCATGAAAGAAATTGATGTGGACAATACAAGTAAGCAAGCACACAGTGCCTTATCAGAGTCTAGGACCCCTTCCTCCAAATGTGGCATAGGACAGCACGCAAACAGCAGTGATACACAGGAAAGAATGCAATGTGCAAATCCTTGTTTGAAGGCATCAGTGCATCATTCAAATGTACTACTGATGGCATAGTTTTTTACAAGGAGGCAAGATGCTGAAGTCTAAAAAGTTATTCTCAAACATAAAAGAATTAGGCAAAATGAAAAAGAATATACTAATTTTTTTAACAGAAATAACAGATCAGAAGGAAACTCCTTACATGCCTCTTGTAAGAGTATAAGGTTAAACTAAGTAGAACATGAAAATCTCTAGCATTTAAAAAGTATTTTAAAACCATGCTCAATCTCTGACCACTAAGAACTTAGACTTGCTACTAAGTAAGGAGACACTAAATGTTGGCTGAATTTTCTGACTTTTACCTAAACTGCACAGGCCCATCAGAAATCCAACAGGCACTTCTACTTAAAACAATGTTTGAACTCATAGTACTACAGAGTAAATGGCATCAAATGATCAAAAATTTTCAAATACTTTAGCTGCTCTAAAACTTTCTTGAGAAAGTTCTCAAGTTAAACAAACAATTAAACAAACAATTATTTTTTTTTCTCAAAACAAAAAAAGGCCAAGCCCTGACACTTACAGTGAGGCAACTGTCTGGGCACATTCTTACCTAGTGTCCTAACTCCTACCAGCCCTAAGCAGTAAGATCACCAAACATAAATTATACTTCATGGCTTTATACACTGCTGTCATTTCCTGCAGATAGCAGTACAGGGAAACAGGAATGTAAAATGAGCAAAACAGAATGCTACCATTCTACACTTTCTGAAGAGGCATTACTAAATCTTTGTGTAGCCAAACAACGTTAAGCACACTTTTCAGGATAATACAAAGCTAGATAACAGCATAAAATTACAAATCTTTACAGTCATAAAAAAATAAACATAATTATAAAAAAGCAACTAGTGTAGTTTGAAGACATATTATTTATTAAAATTTAAGTGATTGACAATGATTGACAAGGTTTCATTTTAAGGTGTTATGTCAGTGAATGAGTTTCTTTAAGAAACACAAGAATGTGTTTTTAAAAGCATGTTAGCAGAGTAAATTATCTATAATACCTCTAGTAAGAAGCAGTAAGATCCTCTTACCTCCTACATACAGCGGAGAATCAAAATTCAGAGTGGATTGCTTGGACAAATTGGTAATTATCTTGGGACTTCCTCCATCAATAGATAAAGATAGAATCTGATCCATAGCTAACAGCTCCACAATGTGGAAATTGCCATCATTAATTGTTTCCACACTGCAAAATAAACATTAATAATAAACAGTTGATGGTCAGGTTAGAACAGTTTTTTACCTTTTCCCCCTTTAATAGTCAACACAGTTTCAGAACATAACTTCTCTAGCAGTGCATTCTGAAAATTACATTTTAAGCAAAGACATGCACATATGCTTAAAAGCCAATACAATACAACATCCCTTCTTCTGCAGTGATGATGACACAGCTGGAATACCTTTTCTATCAAGACAGGCTGAGGGAGTTGAGGTTGCTCAGCCTGGAGAAGAGAACGCTCTGGGGAGACTTTACAGCACCTTTTCAATATAGAAAGGGGGCTTATAAGAAAGATGGAGAGAGACTTTTTGCCAGGGCCTGTACTAACAGGACACAGCCTAACTGTTTTAAACTGAGAGAGGGTAGATATAGATCAGATAGAATCTATTAAGTTAAAGAAGTGACATAAAGTAAAAGATCTTTAGTATGAGGGTGGGTTAATAGGAAACAGGACAGGTTGCCTGAGAATTTGTGGACCTGTTATTGGAAATGCTCAGGATCAGGTTGGATGGGGCACTGCACAGCTTAATCTAGTGGAAGCTGTCCCTGCCCATAACAAAGAAGGAACTAGGTGATTGTTTAAGGTCCCTTCAAACCTAAACAACTATGTGATTCTGATGTTACTCAAGATCGTATTTGCACACAAGTCTATGTGTATCCTACATTTTGCAGAGTATTGGGTTTATATATCTTGCAAGTATGAAGGCCTGATTCTACTCCACTGGCTCAAATCTACCATTAAATATCTACAATTTCATGGAATATGGAACTGCATCTAACTTTAGTCCTGCCAGATAAAAAAATATCATTGGTCCAGACAGCTCCACTGACACTTGAAATAAAGTTATTTGTTACCTTTATGGTTATTTAAGCGGGTTCAGCTTCTGGCTAGTACAGTGAATGTGAATATTGTATTTAATTTTTATTTTCTCATCTACATATATTATTTCCTTCTGCTTACTAACAAGGTATGAACTCACTAGTAGGAAAATGCCTGAATGTCCTCAAGGTGAAAATGCTTGTTTCAAGTGTGGTGCTTTCCCTGCATAAGGACAAGCCTACTTATGCTACTAGGCACAAGAAATGGCTTCAGGTGCTTATCAGCCCCAATATCTACGTAGCAAGTGCTTAAGTGCAGGAACTACACTGCAGCTAACAAAGTTAAGTACATCAGAGAAGGAAGAATATCATTACTCATTTCTGGGACTGAATATATTATTGTACTTGCATAACTTGTAGTCCATTTTCCACTTGAGAAACAGAGCTGAATATATGCATAGAAGGTGTGAGCTAGTCCAGAGACCAGCATTAAAAGCATTCTCATGAAAGCCTTTATTTGTTTCAGGGCACCATCAGATAAGTGAGCTTAATCCTTTGAAAAACATTATTTAAATGGACCAATTGTATGATAGCCTGAAATGGACAGTCACACAGTCAATTAGCTCTTCTCATTGAGGAAGCAGGATAGCTGAAAGGGATTAAGTTCCTAAATCTCAAGGCAAAAATCAAGCAATTACCTTAAAACATTCTTAGTGATGTTTTAATTAACCTAACTGCTTTTGTCATGGAACAGATCAGCAGCACACTTGGTCGTTCACAGCTGTGACACATTAAATAGCTTCTTAGCCATTTATTACCAGCTCTGTGAACAGCCTCTGCTCACAGTGGATCAAAGATCTGCATGGTAGCGTGCATGCTTTACATAAACCCAGCTCTGTTTGAGAGTGCAAACACATGACAGAGCAGACACTGGCACAATAAACACTTTATGGGAACTGCCAGGAGGGGGACTGCCATGGGGGGGAAAGGAAATAGTCAGGATTTATCATTCCTAAAGTGAAAGATTTATTCAAGGTATCAAGAGGTTTGTTTGCTCTGATCAAGCAATATGAAGGATGCTATGACTAAATTACTTAACACATTTCAATGAATCCAGGCAAAAAAATGTGCTAAAAAATCAAAGTGCATATGATTTCTTGACTTCAGGAAGCAAGAAACCCTAATGTAATGTTCTTGTTTTAGGGAAACTTATTTTACAACTTCTAAACCTTTCACTCAATATTATTTAAAATAATAAAAGCAACAGAGAAAATACATTTTTAAAGCAAGGGGTCATTCCAGGGATATACAAACGATAATGTGTAAAGGGAATGTGTCTCTGATAAGAGTGATTATTAAAAGCCTCTGGTTTAAACTGTTTCACTGGTAAAAATTTACTGCAGAAAGAGAAGCCCTTTTAGGTAAGGGTGGTTTAAATTGACGGGGAAATAAACTCAAGGCATATCTGCAATATTTCCTGCCAATGCACTTACATTACTTTTAGCCCTTTTCCCATTGGAGATATGAGAGCGGAATGCATAGATCGTAATGAAAAGCTGTAAGAAGAACTGATTTAAGGCTTCTGGTACTCAGTACAAGAATAATGATCTGAGAAGAAATAGTCCCACATTTCCAATAAATACATGATGAAAACTAATATACAGAATGAAAAGATGTTTTTTTCTTTTGTATAAAATATAGTTAACATTTAAAAATGGGTGCCCAGAGAGAACAAAACGTGAGAAGATTTTTCCAAATAACCATCTCCAGTGAATGAATATTATTTATTGGTCTTGGCAGTGCCATCATTTCATTTCTCAGATTGACTGATGAGTGCATTTGGGATGATGGCTCTTCCTACAGTCAGTTCCTATGAACTGGGAGGATAGGAAGAAAAAAAAAGGAGGGACTGAAGGAAGGACTGGAAACATTCCAGGAGACAGCTTTAATAGGTAACAAAAGTACAGAAAGACAACATGGATAAAATAAGGTAAAGACCTTAAAAAGGGCGAGAGACATCACAAAGATTCTGGGAGGGTAAAATGGTAAGAACTGGAAATTATGAAGAGATTTGAGTAAAATGTGTAAAAGATTCTGTGCTACAATAAACTCCTTTCTAGATCCTGAATTAGAAATTAAATAGTACACAATCTGTAGAGGTATCACAAGATGCACGTATACACCCATACACAAATGTGTATATGGCTTCCAAAATAGAGTGATGAAATCACAGCCTCATTTAGGTTGGAAAAGACCTCTACTATCATCAAGTCCAACAACTAAACCAGCACTGCCAAGTCCACCACCAAACAATGTCCCTAAGCATCACATCTACACTTCTTTTACATAGCTCCATGAACAGTGACTACACCACTTCCCTGGGCAGTCTGTTCCAATGCTTGACAACCATGCACATGATGAAATTCTTCCTAATATCCAATCTGAGCCTCTTCTGGTGCAACTTGAGGCCTTTTCCTCTTTTCCTATTGCTTGTTACTTGTGAGAAGAGTCTGACCCTCATCTGGCTACAGTCTTCTTTCAGACGGATGTAGGAAGAGATAAGGTATGCCCTCAGCCTTTCCTCAACAGCAGAAGACTTGACTATAGTTGGACTATTACATGATAGCTCTCAAATATCTCAGAAACTCACCATCATGTTCATTAGAAATGAAATGGAGGTTCATAACAATAACACTAACAGAAACAAAACCAGTAACACCAGAAGTGTGTATCTGCTTCACTCAGCAACAGTGTCAGTCTGTAACATGTCACTCCATTTCCCATCCCTTCACTACACTTGCATTCCTCACATGTCACATAATTCAACAGAGAGGATCAACCATGTAGAAGAGATGCTGCTTATTATTTTATAACAGTAACCTAATTGTGACTGTTTGTTACATGGTCACTTTGTTATTAATTCCTTCCATGTTTATATTTGGGTTTTTTTTCCTGGGTGAGTACTGTTTTACAATCTTTCTCTAGATAACTAATGGACAAATGTGAATTACCAGTATTTATTATATTTCAGTAATGCCAGAGAAAGGATTAAATTTATGACTAGCAAGTATATGTTTTGAAAGGGAAGAAGTATTCTAGATAGATTAAAGAAATGGGAGCCAAAATAACTTGGAACTACATATGACCCTCATTCCTATTGCTTCTTATTCTCAGACAGATGTATCTATTGAAATAAAAATCAAGAAAAATAATTAAACTCCTAAAAAAAGGAGCACTAGCCCAGATAGAAAAATAATATTATTTTGAATAGGAGTATAATCGTTTATAAAAATAATTTGTTTTCACTGAAATGTCCCTTATAAAATGAAGAACTGTTACAAACACTAGTGCCACTGTTACAAACTATAGAAAACAAATATACCTATATATAATTTTATAGCAAAAGGTGTAAATAGAGCAAAAAGAAGATTCAAGGAAAACTGATTTAATACTTCCCCTTTATTTCTGAAAGTAATTTTAGCACCAAGAGGGCAGTCAAGACCAGGAAATGATGCCTGTTGTCTCTCTGCTCATTCTTGCAATGACTATTTGCTAATTATTGTGAAGTTATACAATACCTCCCAAAAAATTCAGGAGGTAATTTTTCAGAGAACTAGAGAAATATGATTTAAAAAAACCCTCAAAAATTATGCTACAGAAGCAGATGTGGATTCTTCCTCTTAATGACTTTGGAAGCAAAAGCCATTTCTTTTTCAAAGGTACTGCCTTTCTTCAGAATCAAGTTTTTAGCTTTCTCTTCACTTGCCAGGGAAAAATCCCACATTATACGACTGCCTTACAGAGAAGAGAAGCTTCTATTTAATTTCTGCTTATACAGTGTAGTTTTTCATTTTACTCAGCACACTAGGAAATTATTTGGCAGTCACAACAAAGAAAAAACTACACTGCTACATGTGAGCTTTACACAAATGCATAAATATTCTGCTGAAAGCTAACTCTTACTCTGTTTTAATTCATCAAATAATATATTATTTGTCTGACATATCTGCTTTAGAGTTACTTGCCAACCAAATCACATCTTTTGGCAAGAAGTTCTAAGTGTTTGACAACACATTAATTTGCATATATTTCTTTTAACCACGTATTAAAGAATGTGACTTTGATATAAGTAATGAATATAGGTTTTATATCAGTTACAAATGTGTTTCATCCAGGTTCACCTGTAAATAGCAGAGGCTGGATATGATCCTGTGTCATAGCTGACCCTCACTCTACCCCGGTACAGTTCCACTGCTATATGATCTTTATCGCCTTTGTACAACAGGATCCCACTGTCTTCATCTGTGGCAATCTAGTTAAAAGACAGAAATATTTAGAAACAACTAAAATTAGGTATTTAATCAAAATAAGGTATTAAGTGAATCTCTGAATTTACTGCCATAGTGTGTTACTTCATTATAAAATTCTTTTTTGAAGAACAACCTGCCAAAACTCTTCCTATCAATAAGCCCATCTTCTTTAGTATGAATAGAGAGTTATTGCGTTAGCTCTTCTAGATTTTTAGCTCAAACTGTGAAAAGCTCTTTAAGTGAGCCAGACAACTGTGGGTCATTTTGCACATCGTGAAAAGTCATTTACTCTCTTTTCCAGAAAACAGAATCCACAACAGAGGCAAACTTACCTGTAGAGTGATATTGGTTTGGGGGCGTATCTTAGCTGAAGGGATTTGCAGATAGGATTCTTTGTTGACGAAGTTTATACTAATCAGCTTTTCACATTTCTCACCCTGGTAGCCTGATAAACACTGACAGATTGGTTCACTTTCTTTTATGATACACTGGGCCCCATTTTGACATTCATAATTATCACAAGGGCTGGTGCGAGGTAGAACCATTGGTGGTGAAAACTCACAAAACAAGCCACTAAATGAAAACAGAAAACAATCAGCATTTCCAAGAAAAAACAATTTTGACAGAAGACATATGTGTTTGTACTGCCTTCAGATCCTTCTCACCTGTACCCTTCTGGGCAAATGCACGTATATCCATTAACTGCATCAGTGCACTGCGCTCCATTTTTACATTTGTTGTCCTGGCAGTCATCAAAGTCAATATCACAATGCTCACCTACATACCCAGGTGTGCAATCACATCTGTAAAACAGAAAAGCAAATCGGATAGCACAGTGCCTTTTGATGACCCAGTGGGATTCTGGCAGAGGAACTACTGTATTGTTTAAAAATCAAGGGAAAAAAGGCATTACTAATACTTTGTGTGCAAAGGCTATATGGCTTAACCATATGTAGCTTAGGGAATCTATGTATGTAATGGATACAGGTTTGCTAGCTAAAACGTTTACAGACCTGCCAATATATTGAAGAATTGTGTGCAAATCTAGAGAGTCCTCATGAATAATTTAGACAGTTTTTAGAATTTATGAGCAACACAGAATGTTACAGGATGTTATTCATGGTTGCAAACACTAAACCTAATCAATATGCTTGGCTGGTGAAACCAAGACAAATAATCCAAAGCTTGTACTGATGGTTATTTTCTCTATCAACTGAAAGCTATGAATGGACCAATGGTCCATTTACTCAGTTTAAAGGTTATGCATAATTTTTGCTCTTAAAGTTCCACCAGTCTGATTTACAACAAATAGCTCCATGGCTGGTGAACTAACAGAAGTCTCAAAACCCATCGCCTGCCCTCATTGAACACCCACTGATCTAGAAACACTGCATCCTCAAGAGAGTACGTAATGATTTTTGTTTGTTGGTTTGTTTGGGCTTTTTTTCCATGTGCAACTCTCATTGCTAATGTTAGTGGCATTTCTTCAGGGAATTCTTATATACAGAAATGAGTGAATGCCCAGAACTCTGCCAGAATCAATGGAAAATATTGCAAATGCATGCATCCATATGATATTTTTTTAAACTTAGATGTCTTTAATTGATTTCATTATATCTTGTGGTTCTCTCCTCAGTCTTATTTCTTTTGCTATCTAAAATTTGCTCTAAGCTGGAAAGAGTGATTTTAAATAGCCATGTAAGTTTAAATTTATTATTTTAATTAAATATGTCTCATTTTTTATTCAACAACAGGTATGAACAAGACAAGGGAAAAGAATATAAAGCATTTATTAAAAGTCTGACTGAGATGCACCTTGAAGTATACTGCATGTGCTATTTTCTGATTTTTAAGTAACAGGAAAGATTAATGAATTGGACAGTAAAGTATAAGACACTAAACTAGGTTTATTGAAGTGACATGAAAAAACAACATAATGGACTATAAGAGAAACCCCAAAATTTTTCTATTTTCCAGCTGGAAACTATCAACTTAATTTCACATTCAAATGAATATTTAGTATTTTTTTCTGTATTTTAAATAAAATGTCATTTCATAAGTAGTGGGAATGACAATAAATAATCTGATTTTAGCACAAAAGCTTGCTGTGCATAAAACAGGTACTTGTGAGAACAATTTAAATCTTCAGGTTTCCTGTATTTATTAACCTAAAGCCTATTAAAGCAACTTTAAATTGTGCATACTAATTAATCATGAAAAGGATATGGTGTAATTAAAGATCAGCTTTCCTGGTGTGGGACTTCTTTACATTATACTTTCCAGTGTGCCTTCCTAATAATCTCTTTCACAATTACTTCTCTAAAAGCAATATAATTATTCCACTTCAATTAAATGCAATTATTTTCCTACTGTTCAAACTCTTATGAGGATTTTGTATACACCATCATAAAGACTACCCTTTGTTTCTATTTAAAATCTGGTTGGAATTAGCCCTTTCAAGGATTGGCAAAATTCAGTAAAACATACTAAGATAATAATGCAGCTTTACATGAAAATAATTGCCTTTTCTGCCATAAGGTTTAATAATAATCAAAATCATTACTTTTAGAATAGAACTGGCTTCCATTTAAACAGAAGGAAAGATAGGCAGGATGGAAAAATACAAACTTTGATTCAGTTGGACTCTAGCAACATTTCAAACTTACTTGTATCCTTTGGGTGTTAAGATACACTTTGAATCATGCTGGCAAGGATTCAGGTTTTGGGCACAGAAATCTAATTTCTCCTCACAGAGTTCACCTGAAATATAATGTATGTTGTCAATTCAGTGAAAATATCACAGTGACTTGAAAATAGCAATGAACAGAATTTTGAAAGCAATAGCTACAAATTCCTTTGCTAACACTTAAATATGCATATTTCTTTACATAGTAATGAATACCTTTATAATAAATACTAATAAATAAATGGTAATACAGAAATAATAAAAATAAAGAATAATATACCTGGTAACTCCTTTATAAACAATATCAAATTCAACATCAATCATCTATACATGGATATAAATGTTAATTTTGTAATTTTTTTTCATTTACAATATTTATCTAGCTCTGCTATATAGCAACACTAGTCATTAAATTCACTAGAACAAAAAAACCATCAATATGCTTTTCATTTACTTATTTCTAAGCACATTAGATACATAAATAGCCAGATTTTCACTATCACTATAAGTAATCTATTACCTGAAAAAAACCTGTTAATATCACTGCATGTCAATACAATTCCAATTATCCAAAAATGAAAACTTGTTTTCTACTTTTCCTTAAATATGACTCTCCATTTTTTGCATTTGTTAATGTACCATAATTATCTATAATCTGTTCTGTGAAAAGAAAAGAAAAAAATATTCTGTGTAAAATGTTTATCCTTCCCTGCTGATAGAGGCAGTGGCTCTAATTTTCAAAATGGGCTTATAATCTAAAAAATATTTCAATATGGTTAAAAATTGTTCTATTTGCAACTTTATGAAAAGGACACACAGGTTTGTAAACAGATCAACAGTATCTTGTTCCCTAACTTATCAGATGATACCATGGATAGCGCACTTACTAAGATTGTAATCACTGGTTTTTAAGGAAGATACACTTATTCCAGCATCCATATGAAGAAGATATTTATAATAAACAGAGGTAAACCCTGTGCCTGTTGAATTCAGGGACTAACAGGTCCATCAGACTCTAAAACTATGAAGGGGGTAGGGTTGTCCCTGTCCTTCATCCAGTAATAAAACATGAGCTAGCAAGCAAGGAGAAGTAGAACTGTACATTGCAATGACAAGAAAAAGAGCAGAAGAAAGGAGTGAATGATCAGACACTTCCACTGCTCAAACTGAACTCGCCTTCAAAGAGGCAATATTTGGTGTCCCTCAGTTTTACTGAGCTGAGCATGGGAGCATCTTGCAGTGTAGTGGACAAATAAAAACATAAAAGGAGCTGAGGAACAGTCTGTATTAAAGCAAGGATAGAGAAAAAGGCAAAACTGAAACAGGGGCGAAGATGGTTATGCCAGTTAAAAACACAACTGTAAAATGCATACTAAGTGCAATAAGACATGGGATCTTCAAAAATGAGAGGACAAACCAAAAAAACAGCTAAATAAGTATTTTGCAGCCATGCAAAAGATCCAGACTGGTTTTACACAAAGAAAAAAAAAATTAAATAAATATCACATTCTCAATTTGCAAGTAGTGCATCTTCTCTACAAACCAAATAAAGGTTTGAGTTAACATAAGAAAATGGCCCTCATGAACAGGTCACTTAGGAGCCTCAGGAAAACTGTCAGTAACAACGTGACTTAGTCAACATATGTAGGAAACAGAATGGAGATCAAATGCAGGCCACTGAAGATGACTAATACAAAGGATTATAATTCTATCCTCAAAGCCCCTTCAAGCTCTCAATAGAATTATTAGTCTGGAAATGTGCATCTGTTATGACTAGGTCACTGCACAAGGAATCCCGAAATACCAGGGATTGTTAGCATCCCACGATATATCAAACAAAACCCAGATCCCTTTCTCTTTTCAAAGGGTTTTGTTCAAACAAATACATATATAAGAGGTCTTCAATGCCATTCTTCACATAGCATTTAGTCAATTTGCAGAACTTGTAATAGCTGAAATCTGTTTAAAGACCAACAGTGTTTAAGAGTGAGATATAAGCATGGGAAAAGTGAGTTCAGATTTTAAGGATCATGGGAGTAGAATGAGCAAAAATGACTGTTGTTTTAACCTAGTTTGTGCACATTCTCATAGCTTGGAAATGTATATATGTGCCTACTTATATGTGGATATATATGCAGACATATATACACACCTATACAAATATCTTATTATGACATATATTGTAGATTAAATTACATGCAGAACTGAAAAATACATGATACCCCAACTACAAATAATGAAAATGTAGCTGTACATTGCTAACAAAACTTGGATAAAAGCACCTCTAAAGATTCCCAAGAATAATAAATCTGACAGAATATAAGAGAGTTTCTCAAAGTCACATATTGAACCTATCTCCAAGCAGGGCTGGGGCTTGCTGTCTCATACATTCACAGTAATAGTTCTGTGAAAGAAAACCAAACTACCTAGAAAATGGCAATTTATGAGTGGCATAATAGGAACAAGTATTCTTACCATTCTTGTCAAATTTATTAAAATTATTTTGCTGCAGGATATTAATTCATCTTAGATTATCATTGGCACAGATCTCTGCAATAACTTGGGTGGCAAATAGTTTTACTCAATAGTATCTAAACCTGTACATTTTTGAAAATCCTCCCCCAGGTACTTATAGAGGATTACTTAGAGTAACACTGCATTTTAGTATACATAGGTTGCTGACCTGAATATCTTCAGAACTATACTGGAAGCTGAATCACATCATGTGGAGTGCTCAGGGGCACTTGAAATCCCTTTATTTCCCACTCTTGGCTGTGAATCCTACATAATGATTGGACATTTAAGTTTTAAAGAGGTTTACAGCTTTGGAAAATGTCCACTTCAAATTATAAAATCAGTGTTACACTACCAGACCTACTGCAGCCAAATGGCTTGAAAACATCATCAAACATCTCCAGGCATTTTTGACATTATGGTAGGAGTTTGATTTGAGTACTCTGTAGAAAAGCATGTAGAAACAGAACTTTTTGGGCTGTGACAGCAGAAAAGTAAGGAAACTTTTCCCTTGCATTTGCACATTGTATGCACGACAAATGATATCCCTGGAGCTTTATTTAAACAGTCCATAGCAAACAGGAAACAGGATGGTGGCCATGTAGCAAAAGACTCGTGTAAAAATAGCATGACCATACAAGTTAGTTTTACTTATAGTACAACCTTTAGTTTTTAAGAAAGTAGCATTGATGACAGACTTGTACACAGGATCAGTAAAGAAAAAAATCAAGATGGAATACAAATATATACATCAGATACTCAATTTCTGAATGAAGATGTAAATACCAGAAGAATAAGGCAAGATAACCCAAGCAAGGTCTTGAACATCTAATAGATAATAGCTGTTAATATTAATAAATGATAATAGACCTATACTCTGAATGGAGCATTCTCGTGGCCAAAATAATTTTCTGAAAAAGGTAATAGAAAAGGTAAGTAAATTATGGGATATGGAAACTGAACTACTGAAGAATACAGTTTCCTGGTAAAGAAACTCCTTCTTCAGTGTACTGAATAACCATTGTGTTATTCAGAATTTAAATAAGACAAGGTGAAAAGGAGTAGGTAATGTTGTTGAAATGAAAAGATAGTGATGAAAGCGAAACACACATTGGACAAAAAACCCCCAGATTTACCAAGTTAGGCTCCTTGGCCTTACTGGAAGAAAATCTTAGAAAGTTTCCTGATTTGAGAAACATAATGCAACATTTAAAGAGCACACTTCAAAATAATCAGAAAAGGTTGTGAAAAGAAGTCTCAATTCAAGGAAGCTTGACACCGATGTGTGAGGACATTCTTTTATTCATCTAATAATATTGTAACTGAAGCTTGTTTAAAAGCTTGGCTAAGTAATTGTGTTTTTGAAAGATGGGAACATTTCTGTATGTAGGAGAATATGGAACAGACTAGTTTTTTAAAAAATAAGTAGCGGATAAAGTGTCAAAAAACCTGTGAAAAGCTTCCAAAGTTTAATTAGAACCAGCAATAACTCTTTTCATAAGATGTCTGGCTTAATTAATCTAAGGGAGTCTGGATTCTGGTATAGACTAGCATTGAAAACAGTGGAATTATGTGGTTGGCACAAATGAACATGACCCTCCAAGCTGAATACAAATATTTACGGAGATTTTGCATAGAGTATGATGTAGACTTAAACAGTCAGACAACATTATGAAATACTGATATATACTGATGATACTTTATAAAGGTAACCAAAGCTGTATGTTTGCTAGATTCACAGATCAGTTTGTTTCCTGTGTGTGTTAATTCACTCTTATGACTTGGTAAGTTTATAAATCACTAAAACCTTAATCACAGAATACCCGGTTTATCCCTCAAGGATCACCTCCTGGAAAAACCTCATCTCTACAAGATGGCCCAGCAACCTTTCCAGCTGAATCCTAAAAAAGTCTAATGTTAGGGAAGAAACTTTCCTGGGAAGATTACTCCAATGGCTCTGTGTCCTCATTGTAAAAAGTCTCCCTCTTTTTTAATTGTAACTGGCATCTCCCCAGGAACAACTTGTATCCATTACCCCTCCCCTTTTCCATCTGACACATTGTAAAAAAGGAAGTCTCCATTTTCCATTTTTGTAGCCACCCTTTAAAATACTGTAACAGGGTGATAACGTCTCCCCCAAGACTTCTTTTCTCAATAAATAGACCTTTAATTCTGGATTTTAATCTGGATGTACTACAACAAATAATGAGTAACAAGGCAATGAGGTGAAAAAGGATTTACATTTTTGTTATTTTGAATAATTGGGCAAGAAATTTAAAATAAAGCAATGTCAGCCACTACACTTCTGAATGAAGTGGACAGCTCTAACAAAAATGGACACGGGCTTCTTAATGTAATAGCACATTGCCAGTTATGGGCAGGTATATGAAGAAACAAGTTTAAAATCATCCTTATTAGCAAAGCTGAGTTTGATAGCAAAAAAAAACTAGACCGAGAACCCAAAAGCAACAGCAGTCAGTTTTAATTATCAAAACCCAGATTTTTCCCAGAAGACTTATTCTCTTTTCCAAAGTCAAAATACCAAATACCTACCACAGAC